CTGTGGCTCAAGTGGTAGAGCGCTAGCTTTGAGCTGAAGAGCTGAGGGACAGGGCCCAGGCCCAGAGTTCAGGCCCCACAACCGGACCCCCCCCCAAAAAAAAAGTAGTGGTTCTGCCCTCAGCAATGGCCTTGGGAAAGATACTCTCCTTTCCCCAGTAGGCTCCTGTTAGCTAGTGTGTGTGTACAATGGTGTCAGTATCAGAGCTTGAACTTAGGGCCTGTGCTGTTTTTGGCTTTCTTGCTCACACCTGATGCCTTATCACTTGAACCACACCTCATGTCCAGCACTTTATTGTTTATAGATGGAAGTTCACAGACTTCTGCTTGGGCTGCCTTTGAATCAAGAACTTCTAGGTCTCAGCCTTCTGAGTAGGTGGGATTCTACCAGCAGCACCTACACTCTGTTGTCTTATCAAGAGTTCAAACCTGGCAAAAATAGCTCAGTGTGCTTCGCCTGCACAGGTGAACAGCCTAGATGTCCTACCCTGAAGGCTGTCATCTCTTTAGTCTAATTGCAGGGTGGGCTTTGTGTTTCTCAAGTGTTGTTGGAGCTACCAGGTTCTATTGAGCAAGAATCATACAGGCAAGTAGAATCCAGGGGCTGCTGATGTCTACTTGTAGGTCTTATGATGATGGCACTGGTGAATAAAAGGCTCAGGACAGCACAAGGGAAGTGGTTGCTCTGTTAGCTCTCACCCTCTGACAGGCCTCTAGCCTCTGGACACTAAGGCCTACAATTGCACGTTCGCATTTCTCCTCTCAGGACAATGGGAGCCTTGAGTGCTTTAAAGAGCTAAGAGATTTTTGTAGGGTATCCTAGTGGCCTTTATCAGATCTTGGAGCCCCTAAACAAACAGTGCCAGTGCCGGTACCTCTGACTATTAGTACCTATGATTATTAACACTGAGACTTCAGCCCCTTTGCACCTCCCTGAGAAGTTGTTACTTGTTTGTTGGGCAACACAAGCCAATCTTCGTTTTCCAGTGGTCGAGTCCCATTTAG